ATTTTTTTAATGCTACCATGTAGGCAGGTATTTCCAACAAGGAAGCCTCTTCTAAAAGGCTTCTAGAAGAAATAGAGTACAGAATGAAAGGAATTGGTTTAGTATATGAAAACACAGAAGCAATGTGTGTGTATTTTTAAGGTTGCAGTGTCTCCAGGATAATAGCAGGAAAAGATAATTTTACCTCTCCATGCAGAAGCATGCCTAGTTTCACTTCTTGTGCTCCGAACAATATGGAAAAGTTCCGACTGCTGACTCTTGCTTGCATAACTGTAGACAAGAATTTACTACTTACACCCACGGTTTTACAGTTTTGGTCATTTCAATAACATGACTTGCAGATGGTTTGACATCTCTGTTGGATCTTTCACAGATAAGTCTTCTTTAAAGAGACTAAAAAGTTTTTACAGTGCCTTGTGAGCGAGTGCATCAGTATTTCTGAAGCTCCTCTGTGGACAGAACTCCCTTTGAAGTCAATGGGAGTTCTCTCTGAATAAGAGCTTTAGGATTTGGGCCTCAGGACACCAATGCTGTGATCAGTCTTTTGAGCACAGTGAGTAACATTTTCTTGGCTTTCAGAACTACACTAAGCCAAACAGTAGCCCCAGGGATTCAAAATAGGTTAAATTGGAGAATCTGCTTTGTTTCAACCTACATATTTCTTTAGCTTTTAAATCAGCATAGTCTCCATGCCTAGTACTGACCTGCCAAAAACACCCTCCAACAATATGAGCAGATGTTTTAATAGTTAGTTTTATAGCCAAATCTATCATGGCATGAGATACTATGAAACAGAGTTGTGTTCAATGAAAAACAAACATACTTGATGTGAGCTGACCTGTTTAGAAGTTGAGACCTGTACATACATTCTGGAACAAAAGACTTGAAGGCTGAGAACATCATTAATTATTTTACAGGGAGGTCTGTAGGCACTGATTCAATCAGACCATCATAGTACAAAACACTGTGTAAACATCAGAATTAGTGATACAAAAAGTCAGCAATACAAATAGGCAAGACTGATACTCCCTGTCTCCTATTACTTATAATTCCTCTGACTTTTTACATGGGAAGGTCAGGTACCAAGAGACTGTGTGACTTTCCAGTACCTCTCACAAAGTCCAAAATGAAACCTGTCTGCCAACCTCCTGTCATTGTCAAGACTATTCTCTCCCTTTCACACAATTATAACAGTGTATTACTGGACTCAAAAAATCCTAACTTCCCGTGCCCATCCCAGCCTTGGCTTAACTCCAGCATCCCCAGCCACTTTCCTCATTAAACTGAAGGCCCATGTTCTTCCTGTTGCCTATTATGAAGGCTTTGCCCGTGCTGATTTCAGTGGTAACAAGTCTAGATCTGGTGATAAATCCCACCCTGACAAGGGCAGCTGTCAGAGAGTCCAGCAGTGCATCAGCAGTGTGAGGCAGAGCAAAACTCTCTTGCATTTTCAATCATCATAAGACATCAGGCAACTGTATTAACAAAATTGCATATAAGAGAACCAAGAGAAAAGACCAACTGAAAGAAGAGAAGAAGGTAGCAAATTCTTATTGTCTGAACAGAGCTAAGAGCCTGAACATTTTACAGGCTTTTACTTGTGTGATATCATGGGTGGAGGTGCACAGATGAACAGGTCAGTTCTTTCTCTGGAGTCCCAGGTCTGATGCTGGCCCATTAGCATTTTGGTGGAGGAAGTCCTGCAATTTCTGTATGTACCCACAGCCAGTGGAGAGTCTCAAGCAGCTGTAAATATCATGTTGGTATGCACTGCAGTGGGAAAACACTGAAGTCTTCAGGTATGAATATTTATGGGACTATCACTAACAGACAGAATAGTATTTTGGACAAGCAACTTCAAAGCTGATGAAGGAAACACAAAAAGCAATGTATTACCTAGAATATGAGCAATTGTACTACCAAGCACAAGCTCAGCAGCTAGAAAAATTCCTCCACAGTATCAGTAAGACTGAGGTCTCCACTATACACCAAATATGCTGTGACACAGCTGAAAAAAATACCCACTTAAAATTTTAAACAAGTAAAGTCTTGTCCAGCCTACTCACAGCAGTGATCTAAACAGTCTGCTGATTCAGTTGTACATGTAGATGGTTTCCAGTGTTTGCCTCTTTGATTTCTTCTTCTTTTAATTTTGTTTTCTTTTTTACGTCTGGATAATGAGTTCCCTTCCCTCTCCCTCCTTCAATTAGGTGAAAAACCCTCTGACTTGCCCAGTTTCTTCAGTGCCTTGGCTCTACTTCCCTGTGTGAAATCCAGGTGCTACACTGGTTCTTCCCTGGAGATTTCTCCTTTTGTTCCAGTCCCTTACTTTGGTTCCTGATCTTGAGGGAAGAGGCAAAACAGCCAGCAGGGAGAGGCATGTAATAAGAAATAGCTCAAGACCATGCAGGAGTTCAATTTGTTCATCTCAAAGAAGAGGACAAAGTAACATATTTTTCCCTTCAAATTTAGAAACAAAGAGGGGTTTTAGTTTCACCAAAACGGTTCCCAAAGTCTCCTCTCCCTTTCCCTAGCGTATGGGTCCCTGGTCATCCCCAGGGAGCACAGAGAAGCAGGGCACTCAGTCCCTCCCACAGCCTACCACCACCATGGGGACATGGGGGGCTATGGGCTGGCAAGTCATGAAAGGCACAGGCAAGGGAACAGTCATGTGTGGCCACTGCTCAGCCTCTTCTGGGGTGAACCATGGGGAAGGTACTTCACAAGCCTGTCAGATCACTCTATTTGATCCTAGCTGGCAGAGTGCACTCAGGTTTTAGGATTCTACAGAGTCTGAGATTGGTTCTTGACAATTCTTTCACCCCTAGTTTAGAAACTCCCTAGGCAATAAAATTTGCTTACTTATGTCCAAAGAGACGACTGCAACTTGCTTTTGACTATCCTGTTTGTATATATCTTTCTTGGGGACAGATTTAAGAAGATGGAACTTGGAAGAGCTTCTGTACAATAAATTCAGACACAATCACAATCGCACTTTTTACTTGCCAGAATACCCTCTTTCCTTGCATTTGGGACTGCAAAATAAAAAATTATATCTATCATAAAAGAATGCATGCTAAGATCCCATCTGCACTATGAATTGTAACAGTGTTGTATGTGGACATCCCGATTTGACACAGCAACAGCTGAGGTGGCCTCTGGGGAAACACCACTAGAAACAAATTGTGCTCTCTCTGGAGCACTGGGAGCTATGAAACTATATCCTGATATAAGCAGCTTCCTGCTGATATCCAAGACACTGACAAGTACTCCAAGACTGCATAGGAATGAAATTTGTACTCACACCACCTATGTCAGAAATCCAGTATAACACACTTCCACATCAAATGGAATTCAGCTTTGAAAGAGAGACTGAAGAAGCTAATAAAAATACATTGTCTTAAAATATTGCCCTTGCTTTAATCTTCAAAAACTTGTATTTTACCCCAGTATAACACTAATGATAGCCTTTGTTTTCCCTTCTTACTGGCAATGAAGTAGAACACAGAGTAAATGTGTTAACCAGAGTGCATTGCTGAGTCTTAGGGGCAGTGCAAGAGTGTTTCCTAGATGCAGCTTAGAACTGTGCAAATGTTGTTTACCTGCAATAACTCTTTGTTGTCTTGCTGTTAGCAAGTGTCAGTGAAAGACAACTTGGGTTAGAGAAGTAAAAAGTGAATCAAAAAATGGTCTTTTTCAGATTGCTTCCATCACCCCATTTAGATCATGCTAATCTCTTCTTTGTGAAGCACAGCAGGTCCCTTGCAGCTGCGCATGAAAACAGCCTGTCTGAGCTTCCAGGCCAGAGGAAATAAATGGGTAGGGCAAAAGACCTGATATGAGGAGGGGTCCTAGGTTCTGTTCCCAGCACTGCCACAGGAAGAGCATGACAGGGAGTAAGGCACTCAGTGCCTCTCTGTGTCAGTCTTCCCCAGATTTCATCAGCTGATGAAGGCTGTGGATGACACAGAGCTGGAGAATATGTGGTTGGGACAAAGGAGAGGTAGGTAGAACATAGTACAGGAGGAAAGCAAACTTGATAGAGAGTAGTAAAACAGAAATGGGGTGGAGTTCAAAGTGCAAGATGCTACTCTTGAGGAGCAAAACAGAATCTCCTACAAGCTGAGACCTCATCAGCTGCTGGTCACTTGTTAGAAGATGATGTATGGCAAGAACTTGAGGGGAAAGAACTTGAACTCAAAGAACAGCAGTACAGTAACAGAAAATTATCAAACTAGAATTGAGAAGAGCTGTGAGGTCTGTGGAGGGCTGCTAGCAAGAAAAGCTGAGACATTCATTCCACACTACTATCTTTTAAAAAATGGTTCTTCATCAGTTTATGAAAATCAAATTCTCATCCACTGATCCCAAGTTTTGAAGAGCTGAAATTACTAAGGGGCACTGTTCATTGCCTATAGTAACCAAGATGTTCTCAAGGATTAGGTTGACTATGGAAATGGTTGGAGTGTTCCCTGCATGTTTAAAATGAAAGCAAAATAATATGTCAGTGGATTAGTAATATAAACTGGAACTAACTGGTCCAGTTCAATTGCCTATGGTAAACAAAACACAAATACTTGAAAAACACTAGAAACTATAGAAATTATTTAGAAATTATATAGAAATTATAGAAATTATCTAATATATTATTTCAAAAGGTGTGACCTACCTGGTTCCTTATTAGTTAAACAAGGATTACTGTTAAATATAAAAGCTTCATCTTACTAGTATTAGCCACATTAAAATACTCACCTGCTTATTACATGTTTTCATGGGTCTCATTTTCTGTTTTCAAAAGCAATCATAAAGTTATTTCTTGAATTCATTAACATTATTTTTCCTGCTATTTTCCAACAGAATTCCACGATTTCTTTTCCAGACCTTACACAGTATTTCTGTCAAGAGGTCTTTTTCCAGGTGTGAATGTATTTTTATATATGTATATATATATATATACACACAGAGAACCCAAGGAAACATAACTACACAGATTTTATTTTAATTATAAGCATCAAGTCACAAGCTAGCTTTGTTATACTTTAAAATACATATTTCAACTATCTGTGTAGCCACGGTGCTATTACCAAAAGGCATCTCAGACATTAAAGGGGAAGGTCTTAGTTTCATCTACTACCAGCTTTATACGGTAGTCTCTGTAGTGAAGAGTATTTGTTTCTGGATCTAGAGCAACGGCAAGCATGTCCTCCATTTCCTCCTGAGTAAAGGGCTCACCTGAAAGACAGCAGAGAATAATACTTTGTCTTGGTAAGTATCCTTTCAAAGACTGGAAAATTCCACTGCTTTTCTCTTGAAAAGATCTCCTTTTGATTCTCACACAGAGGAGAAAAGGAACAAAACTATGGATCTTATTCCTTCCCTTTTGCCAATGTAAGTCCTGCACACCAAGTGAGCCAGTCCAAAAGAAAGGAGACAGAGGATCTGGATCTATCTGATCTTTTAATTCACAGCCACCAAAACAGCCTGTTCCTCTCTGCCATGGATTTTGAAACAACCATTTCTGTCAGAGTTTTTCTTCTGTGTACATTAGAATTATTATCTCTCATTTGGCTATCCTTGCACTTGTATTCACATCATGAAAGACTTCTGGTTTTTCTCTTCAAAGATGGCCTACTTCATCCCTCAGAGACCCAGGTTACCATCTGAGGCTAGGTCTTGCACAAAGCCTGCACACCCTTTTGAACATGAGGCAGGTGGGCATGAGTCAGCCACACAAGAAAAGCAAGCTTTTCAAGAGATATTGGAGATTACAGAACATACAACTTAAATCTCGTCTTTGAATCTCTTTGTTTGCATTCGGCTCTAGAATTAAGATCAAGATAATGGAAGAATGAATGAGTGCTGAAACCACTGAAACATCCGGAAATCTAAGCTGCAATTTTACAGAACAGCAAAAGAGTCACATACTTAGTGAGCACAGAGGTGTGCACAGAATCACAAAATCTTCAGATATGATTGAATTATTAATAAGGACAAGAATAAAAATCTCTGTTTTATAATGTCTGCAGATAAATGCTCTTTCCCTGCATCATTGACCAGTGAAATGTCCTAGTCTGCAGCCACTCATCACAGGAACAGCATTGTTTGAAGACAATGTATCTACTCCTGCAGGTTTTGGCCTGCAGGGTAAGGACTTCAAGGAGCCATATACATATGCAATGCTTTTTACTTAAACACTGATATTGCAGAAGTCATGTTACCTTCTTCAGTCAAATGTTTGACCAGGTCCTCTTTGGTGATATATCCACATTTATTCTCATCCAAAGCCTTTAAAGAAAAGTAACAAAACTTGTGATTTTAAGCTTATTGTATCAAAAAGCAACAACTTCTTCTTAGCAATTAGGTACTTGAATATTTCATTACAGACCTCAAATGCATGTAGAATAACATCTTCTGGAATAGGTCGGAATCTGAAAACATGGAATCAGAAAAGTTAAGTTACTGTTCACCAGCGTTCTGAAAAAACTAAATACAAGTACTAAAGGAAAAGGAAAGTTTCTTTTCTATGAGAGTTTACTAAGTTTTTTCTATCAAACATTTAATTGCATCCTGACCTTTTGGAACTGCCCATATATTTAACTCTTGCATCTTTTGTTGTACTACTGTTTAATTTCCCTTGTGCTGAGGAGCCAAATGAATGTCTTCTGCATGTCTGGGCTGGCTTGGTGGGTTAGTAGGAATCAGCTACAGATGAATCATTCTACACAGCTAATGCACTGTACAGAAATGGACAAGCCAAGAAAACAAAGTTTTGTCCAGGTAGGCTGGTAGCTAGGCAACAGATCACCTAGTGGGACTTGGGCAGTCTAATGAGCTGATGATGAGCAAAGGAGGCTGGTAGCTATAAAAGAAAAGGTCTGTCACTAACAATTTCGAGAGAGGGGAGAACTGGGCACGTGTGTGCATGCACATGCATGCTTGATTTCGGAGCTGGAAAGAAAGCTCAGTGCAGCAATGGAGAGCTTCCATATCCCAGCAGACTCTCACCAAACCCCCAGAATACTAAAGAGAAGGAGCTGATTTCAGGGAGGTTCTAACTGCTTGACTGCTTTGTCCGGACCCGCCTCAGTCTTTCACCATCTAAAAATCAAATGTGCTAAGAAGAAGCCTTGGATTTTGTGATCCAAATCTCATGTGCCCTTGCTTAAGTGAACTATGGACACAGCACCCCAAAAGATGAAGTGGGTCTTGACAAGCCTGCACTAGCCTGGGGAAAGCATGCAGGGGGTGTGTGTGTGTGTGTGTGTGTGTGTGTGTGTCTGTTTGCATGAAGGGGGTGTGGAGGAGGAGGAGGAGAGCCCAGAGCAGCAAGGCATCATTTTGTGAAAGGATGAACATCAGTGTGGAGCCACAGCTGCTTTACATGTACAACACCCTCCTACCAAAGGCACTCCGTGTGCAAAATAACTTCTCAGGATTGGACAAGACTGATTTTCTCAAAAGCCTCGGCTACCATCTTTAAAATGAAAGATAAACTCCTTGTAAGTAATCATGCTTTAATGCAAAATGTCAAAATAGCACAAGTCCCTGTGTATGTGCAAACACTTCTATGCACCTTCGTGACCACTTTTAGATCAGAAGTCTTTTAGAGGGCTAATTGTATACGTTCAGCTGTACCTGGCAGTCATTTTGAGACACAAATATGAAGCTTGTTTGTACAACTTATTTAGAATACACTGTAACACTTCTCAGTAACTCATATGTTCAGAGAAAGCAATAGTTATGACCCTAATTTGCATACAAAATATTTCAGAGATACACAAAACATGTTGAATTGCAATTCTTATTCCAATTAAAAATACAAAAGCTACATATTATCACAATTATGATTATAAGCTGGTATTATTTATATCATCAGTACAACATAATTTAATGTAGATGAACTAATTTTTAAACAAAATCTATATAGCTAATGTAAATTAGTTTAAATGACAATGAAGATCTATACTCCTTCAAATTACATAAAATTTCGTATACATCTTTATTGAGAATCAACCCTATCAATCGGAATAAACTACAGACACATAAAATTCACTTTCCATTACCTTCTGTCAAGTAGAACTTTTGTCATCACTGGAAGAAACTTTTCTAGATGAACGAATCCACTCGGTTCTTCTACTTCTATCTAAAAATAAAACTTAAGTGTGGCAGGGTATTTCACTCATTAGCAAATTAATCAAAAAAAACAGAAAATTGGGGTGGTCCCTGCATTAAAATTGCAGCATTAGACTTTGAATATTTATATCAAGTCTTTAATATCACCATAACATCTGAGTGAAAGGCTTGTGACCAAATAGAAAGAGATTGAAGGAAGAGATAATATCCCAGGGAAATACAGGTCTGCTATTATTGACACTTGCAGCAACTCAACATTGCCCTCTTGTGCTTCAAAACCATTCATGCAAAGGAACTGGACACCGAGGAACTGATCTTATCTGCCACAATAACTCAGCAGAGGTTTAAACATCCAGGCTGAAGTCATACTAGTAAAGTCTATCAGGATCTGGAGCATTCCCAAGCAGTGTAATGTGAACACCCATTACAGCAAACCATGAGCATGTTGCCTTGGCACGATTTTGAACTATGCCACCCAACATTTTCCCCAGCAGATCCTGGTTTGAACCTTAAAGACTTTTCCCCAGCAAGAGGCTTGGTGCAGCCACTCTGCATAAAACATTTACCAGGGTGGGCATGAGCTGGTCTGTGCCAGCTGGCTTCAACACCCAAGGATGTTTCTGGGCATATTTAACTGGCTAGCTTGGATATAGCTCCAGTCAAGTGCACCTTAATGATGGAATTTGTTGCTTTCATGTTTCATAGTCAAACAGAGTTGTCAAGGGAAGGACTAGAGAGGCAGGAAAACAGAGTCAGGGCAGACCGAAACAGCCATAAGGCCGTCTACAAAATGCTACCCAAAAACTGCTTCCCTTTGCCTCCCAAATGAACTAACAAATTAGTCCCAAAACACTAGCAGCATTTTCACTGCATTCCTATACTTCTACAGGAGATAAGTAACATGGTAAAAACTGCTCTCTGTCATTGGAGTGCATCCCTTCCCTGAAAATTTTAAGTTTTGCTCCCAAAAGGAATTCTCTTAATTGAGCTAGCCTGTTCCTGTCTATGTTGAAACTGGATGTATGCCTTGAGGTCTCACATGGCAGCAGCAACACCTTGCTAGGCCCCCTGAGATACAGCCCAGATTGAAAGAAAACTCAAACAGGCACTGATTTGAAATCTTCTAACTGAGCCAGGAAAAACTTAGTAAGGAATCTTCCTCCTGGGAGCTGGGTCAGAGCTGGGGCAGTTCCTGATACGTCCAGTTGCTTAAATGGAAAGCTGCAACTGCTGCTGCATGCTCTTTTCCAGTGTTCTGGAAGGGGGGTGGGTGCTAAGAGAAGATGGCCATCATGTCTTGCTGCTTTAGAGTGGAAACTGGCTTGAAAAAACACATTTTCCCTTCTATTTGGTGAGCCTAGCAGAAAGGATCTTTAGGAAGGGAATGAAGATATTGCATGCTTCAGTCCAAACCAAATGAAAGCTTTTATCATTACAGAATCACTTGTTTTGCTGCTTGCTTGATTGAAAAGATATAACAAAATACCTGGCAAAACCTAGCCCTGGGAGGTGATTGGCAACCTCAGCTTCCTCTGGTGTGGAACAAACAGCTTCCATTTCAGAGTCTCTATAGATACAGCAGCATCCTGAACAGTTAAAATTAATCCTATTTCTAACACTTCTTACTCTCCCTCGTGCTCACTCCTGTTCTACATCCCATTTCTCATTGATGTTTTCTCTATTTCCTCTTATTTTCACAGTAATAATATTTGCTTGTTCAAACTCTACGAGTTTCACTCTATTTCTTTCCTTTGGTACATCTACACCTCCCATAACAACTGTATTGCAGCACCTATTATGTTTTGTATTTCTGTTCTCTCAGCCATAACATTGGGGTACTTGAAACACAAAGAAACAAAAACATCTTCCAGAGTTACCAGGCAGCACTGTACCAAACTCCAGGCATTGTAGTAACCCTTAAATTAGTTTTCACCACCCCTAGATTTAGCATTTAATCTTTTCTTTGGATGTAGGCCTAGAGATATGATATTAAGTACAGAATTGATTATAAGGCAAAGTAAGAAACATTAGATGATAATTTACAGAGATAATTACATGAATGCTGATTTTCAAGATATGAATAACATGATGGCAGCATGTGCTAGTTTAGCAATAAGGCTAATTGGAAGATGATATGACAGAGACACAAGTAGTGAGAAACAGAAATTAGTCATAGCTCACAATGGGCAACAATACTGGGGAAATACCTTGGTTACAAACTGGCTAACAGACACCATTTTTACCTTACCTAGATTAAGATAAAATGATATTACCACAGCCAATTATAGTGGCATCTTACATAAATTAAGATATGTCTCTGATTATCATAATATATGAAGGGTATCACAAGAAGACAGTGTTCTTCTGGCACTAAACCTATGCCAAAGTTTCATTTGCAGGCATCATGAAACATTCTTTGCTATTTATTTTCTAGTTCAGTTTCTTTTAGGTTATCCATTAGTCTTGAATGTATTCTTTCTTCCTGCAGTATTTGTACTTTAGTATTCTTACAATCAGCATATTCACACATGTTACACTGTTGTATCTCAAGAATCTTCTGCCTCATGGCTACATTGCATTGTACTTTTTAGGTATTACTTATCTCACATTTTCAGTAATATTGAAAATTGGGGGAAAAAAAGGCCAATCTCTTAATCTCTTCCAGAGGAAGAGGCAGGCCTTAAATTCTCCTGGTTCCCCTGGACTTGAACAGGGCTGTCAAACACAAATCTGCATCTTCAGTGAGGAGTTTCACTATTCATTTGCTGTAAAGAAAATTCACTGTGGGACACTAAAAATATCATCTGTATTAAGCACCATAATTTCTCTTTCCATTTTGTCTTGTTTGTCAGTGGGAGCTGGATCAATCTGGTTCTGAGAGTACAGAACCAGAGCAGACAGATTGCAGTATCATGTTAAAAGAGCTTTCTCCTCTGGTGGTTCTTTGCACTTCCTCATCTGAAGCAGCTGCATCATTTTCACAAGACTTAGTGCAAGACTTGTCACAGCAAATTCTGATCTACAAGAGACCAGAGAAGCCTAGTGAGGAGACACTACTACTGCAACTATCCAAATTTTTGTTGGAGCAGGAAGAAAACAGTAGGAGACATCAATTCCCAGTATCCTGACAGAGGAAAAAGAGAAAAAAACTTACCCCACCTCTCAGCCTCAGCACTGTCCACTCTTTAAAGTAGCATACCCGTTTGCAAAAAGAATGTGAAGTCTTTTTCCCACTTCTTTGTCCCATTTATTAGCCACACCATGACAAGGCACCAGCACACCACTTTTCTATTACAAGCATGATGTAAGGAGACAAAATTTAGTGTAGGAAAAGACTGTGGAGAAATGAGATTAATTTCCTTACCACTGCCTATCACTGGGAGAATGAGAGGACCACTAGGTCCCATGATGTTTTATGTCCTGAAGCCTGATTTACAAGCTTAAGTAATCAAGTAAGCAAAGATTCACACCTGTAACTCAGAAATCTGAAGACTAAGACCTCGTGAAGGACAGAATGTTGAAAGGTCTGGCTATAAGATAGCAATAACAGGACCTAGTTCAAAAAATGGCATGCCTTCCCTCTAGGTATATTTGGAATGTGATGTATAATTTTAACACCTGCTCAAGAACTAATTTTTACTACCTAACCCTGCAATATGTCTCCATGGCATGTCCAGAAGAGTGAGATGGTTAGAGTTTGTATATCTGACTGAGGTTTAGAGCATTCTTTCTCATCAGTCAAAACCAATTTTTCCTCCATTTTCTATAAATGTCCCTCCACCTTGGCACAGTGTCACAGTGCCTCTTGGGTAAAATATAGTCAAAGACTCCTCATTATAATCCATCAATGTTGTTACCTCATCAGCCTAAAGGTTTGCTTCAGGGTAATCTGCAAGACTGTCTATCTGCTGGAAACACTTCCATGACACTTCCAACATCTTGGAAAAGAGTTTAGGTTTCCCATTCAGCAATGCAGAAGGGCCAAATTTGTGCAAGTTGAAGACTGAAAAAAAGACAACAGATCTAAACATTTACCTGTGCAAGCAGTTCCTGTACTTCGGCCTCATTTGGGAAGCAACCCAGTGACCTGACAATGCAACCAATCTCCCTGAAAGAAAAGAGGAGAAAGAGAGAA